CCCCCCCCTGCCCCACCCCCTTCGGGACCAGTGGCGGTTCCTATACTCCACGGCGGTCCACGGGGCCAGCTTCGCCACGCTGCTGGCCCACGTCACCCGCCGTGGCCCCACTGTGCTGCTGGTGCGGGACACAGAGGGCCACCTGTTTGGTGGCTTTGCGTCGGACAGCTGGGAGATTGGGCCCAGCTTTGTTGGTAAGTGGGGAACTTGTTAAAATAAGATCCTTTTCCTATTAATTTGCTGTTGGCAGTGTGGCGGTAAGAGGATTTTCTAAATCTCGGTTTCACCTGCTTTGCTGGATTTTTATGCCCAGATTTGGAGTTTTTCAACTCATGAAAAGTCACGTTTTACAATAGGAGCATTGAGTTGTATGCTGGCAACACAAATATGGACATAAGCCTTAAGTTTGGAAACTCTTGAATAGCTTTTCCCTTCAAAGTGGTGGGAATTCAAATGGCAGCTTTGGGTTAAGCCAAGGATGCAGAACTTTTCTTCAGGAGGTTAAAGCGATTTTGCTGTAAATGCAGTACTTAAGGTTTTTGCAGGGACTGAGGCACAATTAGGTATGTCAAGTTTTTCACAAAAACCTGGTTTTGTTTTACACACAATCATCAACTGTTCAGAATGGAATGGTTCTGGGCCCAGATTTGGAGCCTCTAGCTCCGTCTGACCCTTGAGTTTCACCAACTTTGTATAGAGGGATTTCACATGAGCGCCGTCTGCGCATATCTGCAGCGAAACCGAGGCTCTCTGTGTTGAACTTCCTCGCGCATGCCTGCAGAATCCACACAGTACATGGAGTATCCAGTTCGTAAGTGTGACGCTACTTCAGTTTAAACCACGCCCACCGCACAAGATACATGACCATCGCAGGTACGTTAGTGCGCGGTCAAATGTCGTTATTTTTTCTTTTGATTTTACGTGTTGAGTTATCCTGAAAAACTCCTTCACAAAAATTTGCAGCCTTTTCAAGTCTGAATTTAACATACCTTTATGTATTTTGTGTCTTAACTCCTTACTTTCAATCCTCTGATCGTCTTAAAAATTGAAGCTGACACATACAGCCTCGTTTTCAAAAGCGGAAGTGCGCAGATCGATGCTAAAAGCGTCGTATTGGGATCCCTCTATTTGTATATACTGGCTAAGGCACTGGCAAGCCAGGGCAAGCTAATCCCTTGTTGTATTCTAATCTTGATTCACACCTTCCATGCTCACTGCCTGAGAACAGTTATGAGATCTTGATAGGTAGTAGCACCCTGCAAAGATATCTCTTTGTGAGTCTGTGTGGTTCTGAAAAGAACCAGAGGGTACTCAATGTTCCGGACAGTATGCTCTGTCCATTGTCACGAGACTGCAGGGATTCCAATGATCAAGCGGCTGATGTGGTGTCTGGAGGCAGTGAAGTGCGAAGAGGATGCCATCTCAGGAGCATCTGACTCGGCTAAGTGAAAGGTTTGCGGTAACATGGTGCTGCCACAGATCTTTCACTTAACTTGCCACCTTCACCATGAAAAGCTTCAAAGCTCATTTGATGTGCGGTAGTTCTCACTTATTTTGTCACCTGAGTACAAAAATCCCATCTTTTTAATTTTTGTCTGTTTGTTCAGGATCCAGTAGGTGTTTCTTATTTAGCCTCGCCCCCAAGGTGGGAATCTATGAGGCCAGCGGCCAGAATGACCACTACATGTACTTGAACATTGACCAACAGACGCTACCAAATGGACTGGTGAGAAATATTGGGGTATTCTTACAACAAAGTAACAAGCCATGCAACACTCCATGAATTGAAGACTGTCAGGAAACGACTGTCAGGAAATGACAGGTGGTCCTGCAATCAAGTCGTTTGTCTTAGTTTCCTGGGAAGACTTTGTTAATTTTTTTCTAATATCCTGTACAAATTTTGTGAGCAAGTATTTAAAGGAGAAGACGGTTTGTTACCGTCTGTATTGATGACTTTTTATGACTAGTAAGCCATGTCCCTGATATTATGTTTCTTGGATTAACAAGCCCATATAAAGTTTTCAACCAAAGGCAATTTCCAGCAAAACTATAGTTAGCTATAGTTAAATTGACAATGTCCAAATGATGGATGGTTTGGACAATCTAGTTGACCGTTTGGATCCGTAGGGCTTGGATCCTGCTGGATTACACTTGATCACTCTGCTGGTCATCAGGAGCCAATCTCATTTATCAGTACAAAGGGAACCATTTGCTTGAAAAGAATTGTATGAGATGTCATTGACCCTGTATGCCTGCCACGAGAGTCACAGCCAGTGCCAAAATGTGAGTGATGTAGAGATTTTACAAAACAGTTCAACGAGGGGAGTTGGAAGGTAACTGTACTGTGCGTATTGTTGAAAAGCAATTGACCAGTGCTGGGAAAGTAGTTTGCCAGAACTATCATGCTATACTATCATGCCTAAGATATCATTACTTGAGTTAAGATGAAGACTTTTGAAATTGTTGTCGCTGCTATTGGTTGGTGGTGCTGCTGCTGTGTTGGTGGTAAAGAAACATCTCCCTCACTGATTCTCGTGCATCTTCACAACAGGGAATGGGCGGCCAGTTTGACTATTTCGGTCTCTGGCTAGACCAGGAGTTTGGCCAGGGTCACAGCAGGGCCAGACCTAAGTGCCTGACATACGGCAGCCCCCAACTCTCCGGAAAGGAAGACTTCACCATCGATCTTGTGGAGGCGTGGGCTGTCGGTCCTCCCCCAAAGAAACCAGAGGCGGGTTCTTTTTGTCTTTTTGTTCCATCTGATGATACACTTTTTTAATTTGAATCAATATTATTGAACAAACAAACAGACCGTCAAAGGATTTGAACTTGGATGCGACTTCTATTTTTTGAAAAAGTAAGTACTGGGACATAGATATTGCTCACCACAGACCCTGAAAAATAAATTTAAAAGGTTTCCTGTTTTCAATTTGAATGTGATTTTTTTACACTGCCACTTAATGTAGCTTAAAAGTAAACCCCTTCACAAACCAGAAAAAGACGAGGGCCCACAAGGCGGACTTTGGATGATTTTGTCATCCTGACCCTGTCTAAGTACCAGATTGGTCTTAAAATGTGCAACATCCTACTCAGTTTTGGTGCGCAGCACGTCTTCAGTTATGATTTTCCCAGCAATTAAACTCGCTCCCGTCCTTCTTCCTTCCTTCCCCTCTCCCACAGGATGAGGACGAAGACACCAAGAAGAGCATCCTCGACAAAGACCCGGAGGCCCAGGCCCTCCTGGAGCTGATCGGCAAAGGGAGAAAGAGCGAAGGGCTCAGGGAGGAGGACCCGATGGCGGACATACCGGAGGTGCACGAACTACCCACCAAATAGATGCTGTTATGGCTCAACCTACAGCCCAGTTTCCATGAGGTCGCAACGATTGCCGACAGCACGGAAGATGTTAAGATGCAGACATTCACAAAAGAGACAGTTTGTGATGTCATGTGACCCTAAAAATTACTCAATATTGTATCCTTAATGCTGGAAATTTTCATACGTAATGTTTTTTTAGGTTGTCATACCACTTTGTGAAGCCATTTTAGATTTGTGTTTCATTTCTTTATTTATAAAAGGAAACAACAGGCCCAATACGTAGCACTCAAGCGACAGGGACATCATTGTACGCCCGTCTTGCCAGTATATGCATGTGTTAATGGACCTAGACATTTGGCAATGGTCAGTTTGGTCCAGCGTGCAGACTATCTGCACCTCATTTCCGTTAGTCACAAGAAAGCATTTTCACACGACTGCTTTGACACTGTTGGCTGCATCCCTGTACATTGTAATGGAAACTGGGCCCTAGTCAACTAGATACAGGGTGCTAATCACTTTATGGAGATGGAGTCAAGAGGCCTTTTCCAGGGGACGTTCCAAATCTGGGCATCAACTGCTTGTGTGCCTGTAAAGCTCAAATTAAAACGAAGTTCTTCCATCTTTAAACCGCTTTTCAACAAAATGTGCACAACTGTGAAGCACAAAGGGGTAAAGCCATGCTATAGGTCCAAAGGAGAGGATTCCTGACACAAGTGCACGAACAGGAGTGATTTGTAAAGTGGCCGCTCTTTTCAGTACAGTCGCACAATGTGGTATTACCTCACATGGTATCAGCGCAAAGATAGTATGAAGCTATTGCCAAGTGTACTTCTATTCAAGTGTTTAATGAGTCCGTTTTGAAAAAGTGAAACATTCCATTTCAAGCACAAATAGACCATCAGTGTAACTGGTTACCAAGATGGTTGTAAGAGAACTTCTTTGCGGCTGAAATATCTTGATTAACACATTCAGAACTGGTGAAATGTATCTCTTAATGTACATTGTGGATAATTTGTTGAACATGTGCATTGTTAGTATTATTCTAATTATAAATTTTTTCCGGTAATGACACCAAGGATTCCTCAAAAGCGCCATTGGCACTGTAGATTGTAAACCTGAAGAAACCTGTAGAGAGGAGACGGTGAGAGGCAGTTGCAGTTTTAGAGGTGGAATATTCCGGGTAAAAACCGCAGAATCAGATAGAGACTGAAAACTCAATCCACATACGGACCGAGCCGGGAATCGAACCCAGACCGCAGAGGTGGAAGGTGAGGAAATAACCATTCACCAACCTGACTGCCCTAGAGATATGGCGCAGATATGAATCATTGACTTCAATAAGGTCTAAATGTCAGATGCCATAGGAATTTCAAGGTTAAAACCATGTATGATTTACAACATACAGTCAGCAATTTTTATGAATTACTGCATTTTCTGTAATCATTGTTTGAAGCATTAAGTACTCAATTGGTTGTTTCAAATGATTTGGGAGTAGAGCATTTATATTCAATGGTTTCATCTTGCCTCCCTTCTGTATAAACAAATTCAGTTCATGTAGAAAAAAATGTACCTATTGCCAGAATAGTAATTTGGTTGGATTAATCTCATTCTTTTATCTAGTTGTTAATTATTAAAAAGAACGATAGTATACACAATAGGTTGAGGAAAAGAGTAAATTTGGATTCGAATCTTCTCCTTTTCAACAGAAACACTGTTTTTCATTTGAGGTATATTGATTAATTTACAAACTGTTCTAAAGTTAGCTAAACAATGTCAAGAATTATGTGTTAATTATCTATATAGTTTTGAATTTAAAGTGATGCTTTATTGCAATCACAACGTACAGATTCAAAATCACGCTCATATAGTTTTCATCTCTCAAATGTCCTGTTTTTAGCTTTAGAATAAAGGAAAGTTCTGAAGTTTATGTGTATATAAGGCCACATATTTTTATTCTGAAACATTGACATTTGAACATACATCAAGACTAGTTTGTTGCCAGTATGTTGCTATCAACTCTGGAATTTAATTATACATACTATAGAATTTATGAAAGAAATTTTCAAGTGTTTCAAGTAAATCAGTGCACAACGATATTGTCCTTATTTTGGTGCGGGTTAATAAATTGTATTATCAACTGAAGTTGAAGACACTTGTTTACATAAAGTCTTTGAACTTTGAAGCCACTCCATCCTTTCGTGTTTTTGGCGGTTTCCCTTTAAGGTTAGTTCTTGTTTTGGTTTGCTTCACTTTAATGCCTATTTTTGGGGGGAAGGGGATTTGAGTGAAAATTACTTCGGGAGAGTACCCTGATGTATTCCAACCAACTTAATTTACAATGTCCCCCCACCAGTAATCTTCTCGTCTCACCCAAAGCAATGTTGCCTCCGTCCGAGGCCCCACTGTAGACCAACAACGGATCTGGAGCCAAATTTTCGGATGGGCTAACCTACGTTGTTTCTGAGGCTAAAAGTTTTGGACATGTTTCTTTTAACATATCATTGCCTTGATGAGGCTCGAAGCTATATTTGGGGTTTTCACAAGCTTTTTGAAATGGGAGAAATCAACTAGATAAAAAAGATCGCAGCAATCTCCTTAGAAGGTTGATGTCAGAGTCCAACTTGAAAAAGAAGGGCTGTTGTACCCAACTTGACAAGCGAGGGCGCTATTTACAGTGAAAATGGCAGCTGCCGTGAGTGCGAAGAAGACAGTGGACGCAGAAGGACACGCCCGAGAGGCTGAAAAATGGTACGAAATGATGGATATTGAGAGCTTGGCGAGTGAAGGAGACAGAGTAAATCTGCTTTAGTATTTTACGGCCAAATATGCTGAGTGTTAGACTTTTCCTTCCATTTTTAATCGAGTTGTAGCGGCGTGATTACATGCAATGAAAAATGATGCAGCCATTCGGGGGAATTTGGTCGGGCACTAGTTCCTTGCTCTATGACGCAGCATTGCATTGGCAGGGAAACTGTTACCTTATATAAAAGCTAGGATTCCAATGCAAACTAGTAGTTTTGGGGGTCATTTCAAAATCCATATTTTCCCTGATTGTTGTTTATTTTGTCTGGGATCCTACTTTTAATATTATTGCAGACATGGCAGATACATGTATTTCTAAGAATTTTCCAAATTATCACCAGAGCAGAGTCAATCCGAATAATTCACTAGTGGAATATTCGACCTTCAATTCGATCGAATATTCGATTGTACCAACCGGCAGATTGTTGAGGAACAAACCATATACAAAATCAGTTGCAATAATGCACACAGTTGTACATTATGGTCACTATTATAGCTTCTCACGTCTAGGAATAGGCCTATCTCCAGCCATGACTTAGCAAGATTAAGAGACAAACAATACTCCTTGCCCTATTGAAAATGTCTACTCCTTTTAAATTGTGTAAATGAATAATTTACATTTTGAGTCAGTTTTCCATTCCTTTAGCCTGAAAACCTCATGGACGAAGTGGAAACCAGACTTTGATGGAGCTGCCCATGCATATGAGAAAGCAGGTAGGCTTACGCATTTAGGCTTGACCTCCAAACTGACTAAAACTTGTCCTTTCTACACTGAAGAAGCTTATCCACAGATGCACTTCTTTTGGCCCAATGTCATGGAGCAAAGACGTGTATTGTAGATATATGTGAGCAGAAATTACCAGGATTGTCGTAATGTAGTGCGTGATATTTTTCTATTTGTACTACCAAGATATTGAGACATTTTCCAAAATTGCTGCACTAATACAGAATTCTTTACTGTGCATCTCCTTACCACTGATTCGAAAAAAAAAATCATATTATCGATCAGAAATCATTTGATAAAAAACAGTGTCACACTTTTGTTTTGATAGTCAGCTGTGTATGAAATGTATTTGGGTTGTTCCATGAATAAAAGGTCCAATTTTTTTGTGTTCCTGTCACATCTACGTCATGAGTTTGTAAGCTCAGATCACATTTTCTGATTTCCAGGATTGATGAATTAATGCAAATTATCTGCCAAACAAATAGAAATAGTTTGAAATCAATTTCAGTGATACTTCCGTGTCAAATTATACAGGCCAGGTGTAACAGGGACACAAAAATGTCACAGTTTTGGACCCTGAATTTACAGAATGACCCGTTTGAATTCAGTGTGTCTGTGTCCAGTTTGCTGACCACATCTTTTGCAGAAACAGACGCTGTTTTTCTAGTTTTCAGTTTTCTTTTTAAATCTATTTCTGAATAATGTACTTTTTGAATCGTTGTGAGATATATTCTTCTGTCACTTTTCATTTGAACTGCTTGAAACAAGCCTCCATTGTGTGGTTTTTCTCATTTAAAAGAAAATTCTCCTTTCATGAATTTTTTATTTGAATATTCAAATTCGGAAACTAGTATTCAAATATTCGATACTGATTCGATTTTTGGATATTTAGCGCAGCCCTACAGTTTCCCTGTTTTCTGGTTCTGACACTTTTAGCATCAAATTGATCAGGATAACCTTCTTATATACAGCAGTTTCACTGACAGGTTTCTTACATGTAGGTTTGTATCTGTTTACGGTAGGAAGAGACCACAGGGTACAATTTTCACACAGTTGAGATGAAAGAGAGGCTGGACTGGCAAATTTGACCTGCTTGAATGGGCTCTCATGTAACAGCCTACCAACCCACTGTTGGTCAAGTGCCATGCAACCTCAGTTCAAGTGTGTCCCAAAGTAAAGAATTCAATGCAAAGGGCAACGGGGAGTTTCACAGAGCTGTTGCTATCAGCAGTGGAGTCAGGTTTTTGCTTGGAGAAAAACTAACATCACCAGTTACTGAATTCCATCCTCGTGTCGTCTTTGTAACAGGTCTGTGCTACCGTCATGCCAAGTCACTGGAGAAATCCAAGGCCATGTACATGAAGGCCGCTGAGTGTCACACTCAGTGCAAAGCGTATCCTTTGAGCTAGTTCAGAACGAACCCAATTAAGGTGTGGGATGGTGCATGGTTCAGACAGATCGTGCACCTGTGCACTTGAACTCCTTCAACAGTGGCAAGAGAGAGATCAGGCACCATTACCCACATAAAGACTTCATGGATTTGTGCACATTCTAGTGAAAAGCACCATCTTTCATTTACACACAGAGGCCCTTACAACCTGCTCATCTGAGTGCCTACCTGAAGTACATATATAGTTGTTGACATCTTGTGTGAATAAGATTCCATTGTGAAACAGAAGTGGTTTAACTTTGCAGAGAGTAAAAACTTCAACCTCTGCTGTCCCCTCTCAGCCCCAAAAGGGAAATTCCTGTTATTTTCCTGAAGATTTTTCTCAGGCTGTTCCACGCAGCGAAAGCTTACGAGCAAGCGGCTCTCCTACTGAAGGTCAGATGAAGCCCTGCTCTCGTTTCTCTCTCAATTGTTCACAGCATAGGTGTTGTATTAGCATAGGATGCTCTCCTCTTAGTCAGTTTTGCACGGAACTCATATCTGGGCTTGGGGATCACACCCCTGGAAATTTAGAGCAGAAAAACAGTACTTTAGTATCCTGTGCAGAGGTTCTTGGCAGGAGTGCCCAGTAGGTTAGAGCCAACGTCACTAACATAAGACTTAACAGACCCCTGTCTCTATCTTCTCAGGATATGAAGGAGTATGATGAAGCCGTCCATCTGATCACTCGGGCGGCAAGCATGTTCAGAGAGCACGGAACGGGCGACACAGCTGCCATCTCACTAGAAAAAGCAGCCAAGTAGGTTTGAAGTTAGGTCATAGGTGCCAATAGTGTTATGTTTTGGATATCCAAATATTTCTAACAGTCTACAGAAGCCGGAATTGAACGCATCTTCAGCTTACCTATCGCAGTAGAATTCTATCACTGATCAACACAGCTTGTGAAATGCAGTCCAATTATGTGATAGATAAAATGGAAGTGGCATGCCAAATATCTGAGACAAAACTCTGCGTGCAACAGTTCCAAAGGGTTGTCTAAGGGGCCTGGCAAACTCACATGCAGCGATACGTCAATTAAACTCGAATTTTGTTTATCTTGTTTTTATTCAGTATTTGAAACTGCTATTAAAATGTGACCTGCTCTGTGAAAGTTGGTCAAAAGTTGTCACGGCCACTTTTGTCTTCTAGTTTATATTGGAAGGAGCAAATTGAGTTCTCTGTTTTGATGTTTGTTACTCTGATAATAAAAGACTTCATGATGCCAAACAATGTTAAGGGTTCCTACAGATCCGTGTTGTGCAAGATTGTTTCCGAGGACATCAACTCCAAAAAGGCCAGAGGCAACTTCTGTCTCTAGTCACAAATGAGCTTGCTTGAAAATGTGTTTAATCTTATCCAAAAGACACATCTTTTTTTTTTCCAGTTTCTTTTAACAGTGAATTTTGCATGATAAATTCATGAGTTACAACTAGTTACAAATGATGAAGTTAATCAATACCCTTTCAGGAAATTTGACGTTCACATTAAAATTCAACTCTCATTTTATTTGAGTTGTTTTGTGAGTTGTTCTGTGAGTGTGTCTGTATATTATAGTGGATTTTTAAAAATCTGTTCTCTTCAAAATAAACTTTAATGAGACTCTGATGAGTGATGCCTTCCCTTCTGATCACAGAATGATGGAGACAATAAATGCAAAATCAGCTGTGGATCTGTACCTGTCGGCCGCAGAGATTGCTGAGGTTAGTGAGGTCCTCGCGAAGCTAGTCTGAAAGCTTTACATATTGCTAAAATCCTTAGCCTCTTATGCAGTGATTTCCAAAGACGACTGTCGGCAAAGTTCTTTCTCCCTGATCAAGTCTGCCAACCAATTGGCAGTCAGTTGATATCTTTACATTTGAAGCATAACTGAAGACCACAAGATCTGGCTTAACTTAAGGGATGCTTAGTTTTTCCTCGATCCATTTTGAAAGTACAGATTTATTCTTAAATGTTTAGTTATTGTCAGTTCATTTTTTTAAATCGAAGAACCTTGGTCTAGGTTCCCTGCGTAGCTTCTATTTAGTGGCAAAAACTACACATGCAGAATTGTAACATGATCATTGGTTGAAGGAGATTTTGATATCATTTCTAAGGTACATGTACCTTCCTCTTTTGAACATGGTACAGATTATGTGCATGTTTAGTCAACATCGATATGACTCAAAACACAGTGAAGCTATGAACCTGAGAGGTCCAACATGAACGTATTTCTATGCAGACTTCGCTAGGGCTTGTTCCAAAGTTGTGGCTCCAGCTAAATATAACGCACGCACTTATGGAAGCCACCAGCTAGCCCCTGCACCCACTCTCGTAGGTATGTGTGTAACTCTAAGCCGTAGCCAGTTGATTGAGACGGGACTTTCCATAAGTCATCACTTTGACATTCAGACACCCCTATCAGCCACCCTTTTCTGTTCCTCCTCAGAATGAAGACCGAATACGGCAGTCGGTGGATTCGGTCAGCAAAGCGGCAAGACTCTCGGTCAGGACCCGAGACTTTGACAAGGCCCTGCAGCTGCTGGAGAAAGCAAGGAATATGTACGACGTCGTGGAGAATCTCGGATACGTGTACAAGGTAACATCTCCACTTTCTCTGTTGATTTTCTTGTAAAGTTTGGATGTCAGAAGAGTCAGAACCTCCGCCGTGGAGGAAGCGAGCAAATCTTGGTGATGCGTTGTTGGACATTGCATTGATCCTGCACACAGTCTGAAAAGGAAACCCCGTTTGTAACCTGTGGTAACTTAGATTGGTTCTCATGTAATAGCTCAGACATTGTGCATGGACTGTGTCTAGACTGCTTGGTTACCGATGGAAATAACTCACGAGCGTACGAGAAATCAACACAGCCATGAGATGGCGGCTATCCACAGGTGCTATGTGCTATTTCTGTGTTGCGATCGAGTATTAATATTAAGTACCAAGTTCACTGCTAAATATTGAATGGTTCGGAGGGAAGAAAGCTAGGGAACAATGGACATTTGATGGTGAATGCATTAAGGTGAGATTACAAAATAAATTGAAGACTTTAGTCACCCCAGTTTTTTTAACGAACTTTGAACGAGGACAGTACTTTACAAGTACTTTTCAAATCTTTTTGTCTCAAAAACTTAACTTTCATGAAACTGTGGAGGTCTGAAATCCTCATTTTCTGTGGTGGTCGGAAGTCATACAAAGACCCAATCTTACCCGTTGCAATATTTACCGTCTATTGCCCACCTTCTTCAGCTTTGTTCTCTTCATTTCCATATTTGAGAGTGAACTTTGTACTCTAGAGTAACCCAACTACAACACTGTGTCCTGCCAGAGCCAAAGAATTCTGACAAACCTTTTCCCACAAAGAGTCTGTGTTCTTGCAGGTGCGATTTCACTTTCTTTTGCGTGCACTGAGCTTCTTGAATGAAACTTGAAGTCAGTGCAAATAGATGTAAGAGCTGTGAGTGTCATTCCTATCCAAAATAATGGATTTGCTTCCAACTCATTCATCGGGGTTTTCCCCCAGATGGTGGTCGTTACTGTGCTGGTTCATCTGCATCGGGGGGACTTTGTGGCCGCCAGCAAGGTTTGCAACGCAGCTATGAGGTACTTAGAGAGTGTCTTTCAGTGCCACATGTGTTTGAGTCAAGTTGGTCTCACAGAAAGGTGATCTCAGAATTATCCCTGTCCAAAAAACCCAAAACGCAGTTCCTAAAATGAAAAAAAAGTGGGGTTAGGTTGAATGCAGGCCGAATGCACAGTTCCAAGATGCTTCCATTCTTTCAGTATCCTCAGCATAGTAATAAATGTCTTGCCAAGTCTCTTTGGGTGGAGTGAACCTGCATTCCTCTGCTTTCTAGGGTTGTGCTGATATCCAGATATTCGATTGAGTATCGAATATTCAAATATTATTTTCCAAATTCAAATATTTGAATGCAAAATTCATGAAAGTAAAGGGAGAATTTTCTTTTGTTTTAAATGAGAAAAATTGCACTGTGGAGGCTTGTTTCAAGCAGACTCAAATGAAGAGTGACAGAAATCTCACAATTCAAAAATTAATTTATTTTTTATAAAAGTTTTTAGGACAAAGAAATATTTTTCGTCTCTAAATCTTGCTAAATCATGGAGATACTCCCAGATGTGAGAAACTATTACAATGATTTAAATGGACAATTTTGTGCATTGTTGCAACTGATTTTGTACACGGTTTGTTCATCAGCAATCTGCCTGTCAGTACAAACAAACATTCGAATATTCGATTGAACTGAAGGTCAAATTTTCGAATAGTGAATTATTAGAATTGACTCAGCTCTACTGCTTTCCTGCAACTGCCGCCAAATAAAAATAGCTGCTTCCACAATCTTCTACACGATTCCAGAAAGGCTTGATTTCATTGAATGGCAGCGTACCAGCAGCCGCAGTCCTTCAGAATTCTTTACGTCACTCTTGAAAGGTTAACACAGTGCACAGTTGTACATGGTACTGTTTGTCCACATCCCATGCTTGGAGAAACAGTCTAAGGTGTATCTTAAGGATGGTCGCAAGTCGTACGTGGTCTTTCATGACATTCTAAATTCATACAACCTGGACATGGACAAGTGTCCAACATACATGTAGGTGCCTGCTGCTTTGATGCATGATGAATTGCCAGTCAGCATTCTAGCAACAAGACTGCAGTGAGTGTTCAAACTACGACATTCCTGTCAGCAAGCACCGATTTCATTCTTCCTCTACTGTGACCTCTCCTTGGCTCAGGTACGACGGTTACGCCATGGACGAGTCATCGTCCCTCCTTGAGCAACTCTTAGAAGCCTACGACCAGCAGGACCAGGAGAGCGCCAGCAAGATTCTCTTTTTACCCTATTTTACGTACCTGGACAATGACGTGAGTAGCTGGTTTCATCTTTCACCCTTCTGCTCTGTTCTGTCCGAATCTGTGATTGGCATCATGGTGGCACACCACTGCTGTGGTCACCGAATTTCCTTAACCCAAATGGCACTAAAGCCACCATTTTCGGTAGGATTTTATACACACCCTTGGGAGCCAGGGTTAACTGTGGTTCTCACTGGAGTCATATTTGAGCCCATCAGGGTTTTTGTACTTTTTAAAAGTTATGCCTTGTTCCATTTGTGGAATTTAATCAAAAAAATCGATCAATTTATTTCTGTTATCTGAGAAAAAAAAGACGAATTTTCTTAGTCGTCAGTGAATTTTTGTTACACATAATGAATGAAAATAAGGATTGTGTGGGATTTGCCTCCTCAAGAATTTGTCATTTCACACTTTCAACTAAAAACAACCCACTCTATTCTGTACTTACAGGTGTTTCACTTCATTTCAGCATGTTAACCCTAACAGTCCTCAGTCCTCCAACGGGTGAAGGATTGAGGACTGTTAGGATTAAAGACTAATGCCAACCCACTTTGACAATGAGAAACCTCCAACCAACAAATTTTGCTCAACCTGATATGTGTTCAACCTTTGCACAGTTTTCACAGTGCCAAAACTTGTTATTATGTCCAGCAAGTTTCATTAATGATCTTATTCGCATTGAGTGTGAACTGAGCCTGTACTCTGTGCAGCGTTGGGGAAATATGAGAAGACACTTATGTGCCGTTTTGCCTATGATGTCATAGGTGACGTAAGGTCTGAAGCATGTGTCTCTGTCGTTACTGCGTTACTGTTTGTACCCATCCAGTACGTTAAGCTGGCCAGGACGTTGAGGGTACCAGGGGGTGAGGTCGGCGGTGGTGGTGGGAGGCAAGAGCTGACCACAGAAGGAGCAACGGCCATGGGAGGTCAGGACGAGGCAGTGGAAGACGATGAAGAGGATGAGTATGCAGGGGGATTGTGCTGAGATGCAGCCCGATTGTCATTGCACTTGAGTACATCTCATACTCATTTGAGTTTGTGTACTGGTTTTGAGTATGTGTACTCACTCTGAGTAGGATTAAATTCGAGTTGAATTAAATTCACATTGGATTAAATGCAAGTGCATTGAGATCAGTATGAGTGACAGTACTCACTACTCAGTCTTCAAAATGAATTGTGCAGCTTTGGCCATTGGGGTGAGTTTACTGCTTCACTGCTGCCGTAGGCAGTGACAAAATTGTTTGATTCTGAAGTGGCCTTAGAGAGTGGCCATTGCTGTCAGATTGGCTGAAGACAAGAAGTTGATTGAGGGTGGTGTTTAGCTGACACCAGACCGATTGTATTCCACTGAATGCCATAGTGTAGAGACGGGATAAACCATGACTGGTTTGTTAGATTTCATGCTAGTTTACTCAAATATGTTATACATTGTATTATTAAGAGGTATACATGTACATGTGTATCTGTTATGCCTGTGCTGTAGTTAATGTCTGTGGAGAATACTGTATACATGCTTATTGACAGAAAGTAACAAGTTGTTTGTGTCCCTAAGCAAGACAGTTTAACCAAATGCAGAACAGGTTTCACCCGAGGCAAGCGACCACAATTCACCTGGCCCCTTGAAATGGTAAAAGCATTGTCCAAGATTTTGTCCAGAAAAAACTGTCCAAGGCCAATTTCACGATATGATGCAGATGGCATTGTATGTCGGCCATTTTGTGGAGCCTAACCGGCATGCATTGGTAAGTTCCAGGGGTTTGCCTACAGTGGTTTACCTAGGCAGTTGGGCAGCTGATGTTGGGACCAGCCTGACAAAGCTTACCCATATTGTGTGTGACCAATGTTATTACAAATAACCACTCTTTCAAGTCATGCATAGTTCTGTTGGCAACACCATTCCGAATTCGTCAAGATTCAGCAACCATGCCTGCCGTCGAGTCACTGGAGTCCTGGCCAAACCCTGTTTGAGCAACTGGATTACTTGTGCTGATGGCTCATACCCCAGAAGTGCCCCCAACTCTTTGCCATTTGACTCCTCCGCCTCCCCAACTCTCCAAATTGTCTTGTGATTTTGACCCCTTTTTATTTCACTGTATATATTTCTGCTTTCCGAGAGCATACCCTATATGTTCCTTCCTGTACGTAGCTGGACTCTTGTGAAATGGTATCACGGTCATTGATACTTTTATTGCTAATGGATAAAGTGAGAAAAATGCAGAGTTTCATTCTGATGGCTTTTGTGACTAGAAACGTTGTCTATGTATAATGTGAGACATCATTTTCACAATATGCGTTTATTTCCTCTTTACATTAGTTATGTCAACAAAAGTGACATGTAATCTCACTTTACAGTGCAATATCTGATTCTAGACTTTCTCCAAGGTTTTTAGTGTCTGTAAACGCTGGTGATTTTGTAACCTGAAAATATCAAAACTGATTCTGTGTTTTTGTGTTTCATTATTATTCACCAAGCATGTGAGAAATGGATTCCCGAAACAGATGTTGAAATAAAAAGTAATTTGAGAAGTGAATGTGCTGTCCATCCATGTTTTTTTTGTTGAGGACTTTGGAGAGCTAGCATGTTTCTGCATGTTGGATCCTTTGGTGATTAACAAACTGTCATGATTTTTATTTTATAAAAAGTAGAGTATAATTTGAAGATATTGAATTGTACATTTTAACCGTTGGTGAAGGTGTGCTTCTTTGACCAACTATAACAGTCATAATCGTTGTCGTGCCTCCAAAAATAATTTGTAAATTTTAATGATAATGGTAATGTCAAAACCAGAAATATGGGTAATAGCTTTTTGGTTGATGTCAAACAAGATTTAGCAAGTCACATTTGGTTTTTCTTACGAAAGTATATGATAGTACATGTGCGTGTACAGTAGCTTCATCTTTATGTTAATTAAAGTACATGTATTTTAATTGGGTTTGACTTGGTACATGTATTTTGTGTCAGTGTGAGTGCATGACATGGAAGTCTCCACCTGCGAGACCATTCATGTTTGATAGACTTCCCAATTATTTTGACGACAATAGTTTGGGCCAATGGTTTTGAATGAAGGTGGATAAACACACAAACAGCGAACAAAAAACTTTTTTTTCCAAATGCCGAATGATTTAATTCACAAAAAGTGTAAGGTCGCCGCTGAGGGCGTGCTTCACATCAAAATGGCTGCGTGCAGGAGTTTACGGGCTGCTTCGAGGTTGCCGTTTCGGTCGCTGTTTTCGCCCAAACAGACAGTTTACATTCGCCACACAGGTACATGATTAGAAAGGTCAATTGCTGTGCATCTGTCAGTGTGAACACTGCTCTTAAATTGGGGTTGATAATGTGGTATATGAGCCTCTCTGCATCAATATGTTCGAACTTATGCTGGCTGGCAGATTCTGGTTGTGTAATCTGGCACCTGGGAATTCGAAAGTTCAGAAAATTGTCAGGCCTACGTTTCGTGTTTGAAATTCGCTTGAAATTGACATTTACTACGTGTCATGATATAGATGATATCACTTTTGCGTCCTTATTACACATTGGCCATGATATGTTACTGTCTTAAATTTTTGTGGAGATATAGGCCTAGGGAAAATTGGGAATTCTTGCCATTTTTGGCATTTTAAAAGGGGTGAGTTTTCCAATTTTATAAAACAAGAGGTGTCTGGAATAATATTAAATACTACCTGAAAGAGAGACATTTTACGTTCATTTTTTAAGCCAAATCATTTTCAGGTTGAATACCTGTTCTTTCATCACCAGCCCTTCGAATAATCAACCACTGGCTAGTAGTAAGGTCACATAAAAAATAGTTTAGCGACAGCATCCGCCTCAAAAAATCTTGCCGTGTTTTTTTTTTCTTTAAAAGTTTTCTTTTCCAATTTTCTTTGTCCTTAGCCGTCCCCGTAGTTTCTACAATGCCCACACAACCTCGTGCATGCACAACATGCGACCTGAGTACATGTACATGTACATACACAATATCATGTGCACTTTTGTGCACAAGTCTGAAGTGAACATGGCACTTTCGTTCCATGGTTGCGGCAGTCCAGATCAGCATGCATACCAAAGTATTTTTTTTTTTTTTTAAAAACCTCCTCCCTCCTTATTTTTTGCAAATACGACTGATGCTTAACTATTTTTATAAGCGGCCTAATGAGTAATAGAAAATCTGGTTGCTTGAAAGTTTTGAAATCTTGATTGTTAATCGATCTGTTTGATTTGATTTTGAACATTTATTTCAACGTCATGTACGTAAGCACCTCAATAAAAGTTTAATAATAAGGATATTAATAACATTAGGGTCTGCATTACATTTATCTGAAGGTGGGCAGCTGCCTGGTACTGGGTGTGAGGCCTCATTGCCCAGAGTGAGGTGGTGCTCGACAGCAAACGGCAGTCAGCAAACCTTTGAGTGAGTTCAGTTTACATGGAAGCCGTTCTTGCTGTATGTTTGCACTGTCAGTGATCAAGTTTTAACTTGAGTATTACTTTGTTGAATCAGACAAGGTTTGAGGCCTTCCCGAGACAAACGACAAAAGTATCTTTCATATACTGAATAATTGAATTGTTTTCAAAGTTGCCTGTAGTTGGACCACCATCTGGCATTCTTCAACCCTCCTTCAAAATTTTAATCATCCATCACAGCCCACCCAATTGCTACTCCAATTACACTTACAAATCTTTTTCCCTGCTAAATATAGATCAGGAATAATTCAGGTTCCTGATAAACAACCGGCAAATAGAATTCAACAATTTCCCAAAAATACACTATGAATTAGCCTTTCCAACATAACCTCTTGGTAATGCTCTGCATTGTGCATTGCCTGTATTGTCTTGTGGTATTTTATAATATATTCTCATTTAATTTGTAAACCAGTGCCCTAAAAGTTTCGGTTTAACCCTAACTTTCCCCAACCACACAGAATTAAACAGTAGTAAAGTGTTTAATTCTGTGGGGATAGGTCTGGTAGGCCCATAACAGCTGCCTTTTGCATTGGGTTTGGCATACCTCAGAAAAACAAAGTCCAACAGCCTCTTTGCACAAAGTCCCATGTGGGTGTTTAACTTTGTGTGAATGGGGAAGGTTAGGGTCAGCAACCCTTGGGGGGTTTGGGTTAATGTAGAGAATTATTTCATTACTTCCATTATGAACACATTCTTTTTTGTATTTAGAGATACATGTATGTAATACATATCAAATAAACATTAATATTAAAAATTTCTCTTGTAAAGTCAAACAGCCAACAACCATGGCAAATTCCAAGGAGCTCCGGAACCAACCTCCGAAGGGGAGCGGCAGGAGGAGTCCGAGGCATCGGTCAAGCGCTGCATCCTGGAGTCGGCACTGGACTTTGTCCCCGCCTTTGGCTGGTCCACAGAGGCCCTGGCCGAGGGGGCCAGGGCCCAAGGGCTGGCTGGCGTGGCACATGGGATGTTCCCCCGGGGCGGCGGGGAGCTGGTGCACCACTTTGTCCGTGAGTGCAATGCCCAGCTGGCCGAGAAGCTGGCCCGGGAGGTGCAGGAGGAGACGCAAGAAGAGGAGAAGGAAGGGGGAAGGAAGTCAGTATTGGAATATTTGCAATTATGCAACACCTTAATAAATCCCTGTCATCTGATTGGTGGATGGTCAATCATGTTGCATGAATTATGCATCACATTGCAAAGCACATTGATGCCACAAAACTTAAAAATACCAACCAACATAAAGTCTGAACACACATGTGATTCAGGGAATTATTCATTTACAGATTTGTTAACCCTAACCTTCCCCAACCACACAGAATTAAACAGTGGTAAAGTGTTTAATTCTGTGGGGATAGGTCTGGTAGGCCCAGACAGCTGGCTTTTGCATTGGGTTTGGCATACCTCAGAAAAAC